GGCAGAGCAGTGCTGCCCCCGGACATCCCTGAGCAGAGCAGTGCTGCCCCAGGACATCCCTGTTCCCTCTCTGTGAGAGCAAGGGCAGCAGGAACCTGACGATCTCTCTCATCTATAGCTTTCCACAGGAAACAGCTTTGCAAGAAACTCTCCCCTGGAGACCTCCAGGCTTCTCGAGTCCACTTTCTGCGCAACCAAATATTGCCCATTTTTGTCCCCCTGAGATGCAACAATATTATGAGAAAGAACTGAACTGAAGAACTCTGAAGATCATCTGTAGAAGTTGCTTTTGTCTCCTCAGCTCTCTTGCACATTGGAGAAAGCAACCCTACAACGCTGAAGTTCAAGCTGCTGACAAGCTGTGTGGTACACAGAGCAGAGGGAAAGCACTACACTTAATGATGCTACTTTTGTTTATACTCTGGTTTTGCACGTAAATATGTAGCAAGAGACATAGAAATAGTTCATCTTATAAAAAAAATAAACGCATTTCATACATTAAAACATGAATTACGGTAAGAGTCCTACCCTCCAGTAACAACCACTACTGATTCTGTATGCAATTACAGGTTACAATTAGATCATTTATGTAAAGCCTCGGCTCCTCAGTTTCAACAACACACATTCAGTCTGGCTCAGATACCACATTCCATAAAACAAGTAAGTCAGAAAAACTGACAGAATTCCTGAAAAACCACAGCCGCACTCCAGTATATTTTTTAAAAAGCCCTAAAAGTACTCAAACATAACATCAATAAAACATAACGAGCCTTGCAACAACTTTCAAGCCCAAACAATATACCCTGTTGCACATTTGAACAAGCTGCATGTTTTTCTCCCTTAAATGACACAGAAAACCAGATTTTATAAAGAGCTCACAGGGCTGAGCAATCCAGGGCTTTCACAGCTCCTCATCTCAGGCAGAGAAACCCTGAAATGCCCAAATTGTCCAATGGACAGAGCACTAGAGCAGAACTCAGCAGACTGAATTCTATGATTAATTCTATTGCTAACACGCTCACAAGCTGAGGTATGTTATTTTCCCAGGGAATAAAAAGGAAAACTCCACCATTTCTTTTATAAAGCACTTTGAGATCTACTGATTAAAAAAAAAAGAGAGTTTAAGGTAGTATAAGCTCAGAGTATGATCACACCAGTAAGACAGCCAAAGTGCCCACTATATGGACTGACAGAAGTTATTTTCACATAACAACTGCACCATGGTTGCAGTCAGAGAGTACCTGGAACCAGCACGTTATCAACCTGACCAGCTTTGGGGAGTTACTCCACTATATTACACCCGTGGTACTTTTATTTGCAGCACAAGAACAACGGAACAATTTGCTTTTCCTAATTTCCAAGTGTCTCATGTAAGCAACAGCAACTACACATCCTCAGGATCCTTGTTGTGTCCTACACTGTCCAAAAGCTCAAAGCCACCCAGCTGGGCAGAGCCCAGGTAACACGCTCTCAGGTGGGTAGTGAGGCTCTTCTGTGTCCCAAAGCCCCTGCCACAAAAGAGACACACAAAAGCGCGCTCGTTCGAGTGCACAGACGTAAGATGCCGGTTCAAGTCTGTCTTGTCTCGAAACAGCTTGGCACAGTCAGGACACTGCATCTTCTTACAGCTGAAGTGGATGGTTTTCTCATGCCGATCCATGTTTGATTTCAGAGTGAAGCTGGCGGGGCATTTGGAGCAGTGGAAGCGGGCGAGCTGGCTGGGAGGCACGCTGTCGCTGTCGGCAAGGCCAGGCTGGGGGCAGCCAAGCAAGTGGAACGGGAGGAGCATGGAGAGGGTGTGCTCATGGGTGTGCTCCTCCAGCTCTTCAGCACAGTGGAAAACCCTCCTGCAGAAACCACAGGTCAGCCTCTTGGCTAAGGCTGAATCCAAGTTGTCGGTGGTTATGTCCATGTCTTCACATCGCCAGAAACTCGTATCTAAAATGGAAATACACACACACACACACGGACAAGTCAGTGTCTTCTGCTACACAATAAAACCAGCTTAAAATAGTATTTTTCTCTCCACTTACCTGAATCAGAGTTATCAAACTGCCAAAGTGCTAAAAATCCATCACAAGTGGCCTGCAAATGAGAAGCACATTTAAGTTGAGGCAATCATTTACACCACAGCTGCCTTCATAGTACTCAGACTCCCACCTTATCGCTGCCTTTGCTCCCTTCTTTAAGGGAAGCTCATCGCTGACTTGGCAACACTATTTGCCTTGACAAAGCTTCCACTGTCAAGTTAACTGGGCCATATTTTGCAAGACTTGGTATTTAAAGACAGTAACCAACATGCCTGTTTAGGTCCTGGGCTTCTTCATTTTTTAAAAAATGAAATAATGAAAGTCCTGAGTCTCCTAAAGCGAGACTCAATTTTCAGTCTCACTGAGCATCTGGAGCTGCCACTCAGGCCAGTGGGAAACACTGAGTAGAAAATGTCCAACAAAAGGAAAGGCAATTTTTTCCTTTAGCCCTCCACCACTACGTTTTCTTTCCACACAGAAAACAAACACCTTGTGCGTAGTTCCCTTTATGCAATGCTTTCTGGCATTGTTGATCCAAATTATAAAGAAAAGCTGGGGGTTTTTGTTTATTTTTTTTTTTTTTTTCCATAAAGCATTTGCAATATGCCAGCGTGCAGCAGATGGCAACCCTCCATGAGGCAGAGGCACGATGCAGCCTGGGCAGGTCTGCTGGAGACCAGGGAAGCGGCCACCAGCCGCTCTTACCAGCTCACTTTGCTCTAAGATAACTGCAAAGAGGAAAAAAAAAATAATAAAAAAAAATATCTGTGTTTCCACCTATTTGTTTAATGGAACTAAAGCCTCAATCAAAAATATTCAGAATAAGAAATGCCATAGAAAGCTAGGGATTTTATCTCAAACTCCTGACTCCTGTAATACAGAAGGCTGGCTTGCTTCTATCTGAATTTAGACAGTTACATGAAACCCAAATGCAAAATACAAGTGGGCAATGGTCTCAGCTATCTTTATACCATTATTATATTCTTGTATGCAATGTCTTGCAAACAAAGGGATTTACAATAAAAAGGGTATGTGTATATTATTAAAAAAAACCCCAACCAAAACCAATAGTTTTTTGAACACAAGTTCTGTTGAGGTAAGGCAGAAAGGATTAAAATAGGAAAGCACCAGCTCTGAGATCTGACAGACTTCTAGTTTTAAAAACTTCTAGTTTTAAAATTATCTGTATTTAAAAAAAAAAAAAGAAAAAAGAAGTATCTAAGTATCAGGTCTTTCAAACTACTCCTAACTGGGGAAGAGAATTTGATTAAACAGATACCTCTAAATTTAAATTTCTTTGCATTTTCCCCCACGATCTTACCTGGGCTGAGGAAGGCACCTCTCCTTTTATCATGGTTTCTGGTGACATTTCACCAGAAGAGCAGATCTCGGGGGGGCTCTGAGTGGCAAGGTGTGCTGAAGGCAGCGGGGGAGATGGTGCTTCCACTTTGCCATCACATTCGCCCCTTGAACGATTCAAGTTGGTGCCAGGCCCTGGGGAACACAGGAAACGAATCTCACCCATGTGAATTAGCACCAGCTGGTGGTTTTTAAAAAAGGCCTTATCTTCTGTCACTGGGAGGGAATGCAGCAGGACAGCGATGCCAGGCTGTTGGTTTGGTTTATTTATTTTATTTATTTATTTTTAAACCAGCCTCCCCACCCAGAACGCCTGGTCTGTGCGCGATGGCACGGCACGGTCACTAAAGAGTCCGTCGGGAGAAAGCAGCACAAATATCCAGGGCAATCACATTTCTGAAAGACACCTCTTGGAAAAACACCGTTCCAAACACAGACATTTCCATCTGCAAGTAACACACTGAAGATAAAACTTCATTCTACTACTGACTTTAGGAAAAATTATGTTAGAGGTTCAGATCTTGGGATTTGACCGTCGTGTTTTATTTGACATAGTACGTCAGTCCTCGATCTCAAAGTGCTTTACAAAAGATGGGAAGAAGTATTCCTTTCATTCTAGAGCTAGCAAGCATGGAAGTTCAAATATCTGTACAAAAACTATTCAATTATACCTGACAGTCGTTACATTCTATAATTCTCCCACAGTTCAAAAGGAAAACATTATTTGTCGGAAGCAGAATCGTACCCCTCTTGCCTGAGCTGTAGCAACAGCCAAATGGTTAAACAATATTCCAGAAAATGCAGTGGTAATTAGTGACCAATCAGTGTACAAATAAAGTCTGGGTAATCAAGATCAGCACACATTCCAAACTGTTAAACACAACTTTAATAAATACCTCGACTGAGTACTGGAATGACATATCCAGCAGGTCATTATTTTTGAAAAGCAAGCAGGCGAAATCAGTAAATATGGTATGAAAGTAAAGAAATTCGTATTTAAAGCACTCTGTGCCCTAAAGACTTTTTTATTTTTAACACAAAAGAGTCTGATTGAAACCTTTATGCACAGAAAAACATGCTCTTTAACACAACTACAAATAACCAGTCAAAGTTTATACCATGTCCAAAGACAATACACTGTGATCTGGGTCACAACAAAGCATTCGAGTGAAACCATACAAAATGTGAACAATCCCAAACTGAACTTGTTATCAGGTCTCAAAGGAAATTCTGCTCTCGTGCCACAAGCTGGATGTTTGATTTACCTCCCTGCTTTGATTGCAGATTGAAATCTTTTCACGACTTAGTGAACTCTATTCAAGTGTGATAACAATACCTCACGTTTTCATTCTGGCGGTGCTCATCTACTGCTGTTATCATTTAAAGGCAGGACAACAACGCACTAAACCCCTCTGAATTCAAGATAGGAAAAAAATAGGGGAAAAAAAAGTTAATTCCTGCCTGGCCATTCACACATTCCTTTTTTCCCTGACCATTCCAAACTGATTCCAACTGCCCTGTTTACACTGAAGTGACACACTGTGAGCACTGGCAACTTTGAGGCAGCTCTGGGTTGTATTTCCTTAAACAAACGGTATTTTAGTGTACAGTGAAGGTAAGCCACTGGGGTCTGGCTTAATTAATTCTTTATTAGCATCTTTACAGAGTTACACAGGTTCCTAAGAAACTATGCACTTCAAACAGGATAATGAACGAGCAAAGAGATAGAAGGAGAAACAACAAACTCAATCATCCAACACGAGCCACAAAGACGTACAACACAACAAAGTACAAAGATTATTTTTAAAACAATAATTAATATTTATTTAGTTTCAACAACTGCAAGACAAGAAGAGAAACCCACGTAAGTGACCCAGACTTTGTATGCAAGAACACAAACAGCACCTGAATTTACACTTTGTCCCATTCCCGTTAGTATTGTGAGAAAGCTTTTTCCCTCCTGAATTTGTATTGAAATGATTTTTAATGAAAAGTATTTTAACTTCTAAATCAGAAATCAAAAGCGCTGTCCTTCAGCCAGCTTTGCGTGAGGAAGGTGACAGATACACTGGTTAAATTTATAGGAATACAGTATTTTCTAACAATTGGACAGTAAACTACTGCAGAAAAGAGAAAGGCAAAGGTTATTATCTCTCATTTAAAATTACATCCATTCTCCCCTAAATCTTCATTTACTGTGTACTGAAAGTCCACGCCAAACTGAATAAGTCCCTCTCAGGAAAGCTGAGCACTGTATAAAATGTATGCCTTTAACACCCAGCACAAGTATAAATTATTGGCTCCAATGAACCGCTAACTAAAAATAACGTATTAGCTGGTTTGCCCAAAAGAAAAGGGCTCTGTGTACCAGGCAATCGCTTGGACAGCGAGCTGCAGAGGAATTGCTTCTATAAACAGTTTCAGTTGCAACAGGGTAAACAGGAAAAGCCAAACTTAGACATATAAAAAAGCATGCAATGTACTACTCTGGAAAAGTGGAAGAGTTGCCCTTTAAGGCAGTCAGTCAGTCGCCCCCAAATTTGAAAGTTTTCAGACTTTTTTTTTTAATGAGAAGACAAGGATGCAAACTAACCAACTCATGTTCTGATGCATATTAAAATTCCCATTCTCTTGATTACACTTGGCAAAACCAGCTACAAATATTCAACTAAAGCCTTTGTAACCGTAGGGAGCACTGCTACCAAAGTTCAGGACTGTAAATGGAGTAAGAGACGTTACTACAGCCAGGAGCTGAGCAGAGCAGCACTGCTCATGTCAGAAACCAGCAAGGAACAACCCGCGTCACAGACAAACCATGAAAACATGGAAAGACGAGGAAAAGTGAACCTCATACACTGGCTTATCTGAAAGACATCCCCAGTCACGTGTTACCCAGGTTCAGTACCTGATGGTACCCCAGGTGACCTCAGAGTTACCCACGAGTAACTGACACCTACTTTTTTCTGCATAACTTGCATGTTCTTTACGTGTCTGACCAGCGCACGAATGACGTCAATCTTGATCGTACACCATGAACATCAGAACTTCTCAGAGCCCTTCAGCTGCAGGTGATCTGGCAACTCTGTTACCCAAATGGTAAGATCTTTAAATTTCCCCTTCTGATTTTAAATTACTTTGAACTGGTTAATGTTAGAAATGCTGCATTTATGTTTGACTACATCACGGTGATGCAACATCCCTCCCGCACACCGGGCTTCATCCTCCGTCAGCAGAACGTTAAGTCATTTCACATTTCATGTGGTCATTACAACATACAGTGAGTTAGGAATAAAGAACGTGAGGTAAAACGAAAGCCTATGGGTATCCTCTATTAATTTCTGCAACAGTATGAACTAGGTATAAGAAAAATTAAAGTTCACAGTGCACGCTGTAACTCGGAGAGAACATTCCCTAAGAAACGACTCGTCAGAATTCCAGATGTGTGTAACACACTCTTCACCTCTGTCCACCCCCATTAAGTCTTTTCCTTCACAAAATAAATGTGAACGCTGCTCCTTGAGTTGGTTCTTTACCATTATTACAACGTAAGAGAATATGAAGACAATCCAGTTATAACAGTTAAATTAAAAACACACTTCACATTTTTTTTTTTAAACTCTAAGAGAGACTAACCACTTAAAAATATTGAAAATAGCGCATCTCCTTTTCAAATTAGGCAGATGAAAACGACCACGCACTGTGCTGGCTTTGTTTTGTTGGGGTTTTTTTACATAAAACTCTTGCTCACTGTGCTCCTGCCTACCCACAATGCTCCCCACCTTTTTTAATATAACCCAGGACTTAAAATGACTCAACATCCTCAAATTGTGTTTGAAGAAAAATGTGAAAAACACCTACAAAGCTATCACCAACCTAGACTGTGCTTTTAGATCTCCAGAATCTTCTTACCACTTGCTTTAATGACATTTTATACACTGAAAATTCTCATTAAACTTCATGTCCTATTGTATTCAGTAATGACCACTTAAAAGCAAGCGAGTCTTGTATAAAAACATCTTCTTCAAGTGATTAAAATAAATCGATACCTATGAATCTGAGTAAGATGAAAGAAAAATATGTCCCTTAACTCCCTGCCTCTCTAAAAATCCTCTTACCAGGCCACAGCCACCCTGAGAGCTACAGACCAAGCGAGCAGTTTTCTTTTTGCCTCACACAATTCACTTCACTTCCATAAAAATGGGAGAACTGAAGCTCAGCTGAACTAAATTCCACAGTGAGAAGAGTGGAAAACAGGCACCTCAAATACAGGCCGGGAGGATCTCCTCAGCCATCACACCCCTGAACAAGCCACAATTTACTCTCTTTTCTACATCTATCAAGCTTTATTTTAAACTCAGCTGATCTTCTGCCCACACCATTCCTACTCCCAAACTCCACTTCTCAGCTGGCTGGGCAATCTCTGGTTTCCAGCCCCAATTTATGACTGCCTTATACTCAATTTGTCTTTACGTCAAGTGCTCCTTCAGCTTTTAAATAAAATCTAAATCCTCCAACCAAGAGGAGGATGATGGATAGAGGGCAGCCCCATCATTATTCCAGTTTATCATGACAGAAGATGAAACCACTGATTTGTCCTGTCACGAGTCCCAGATCCGGACAGGCGATGGATAAATCATCCCTCTGCGCTCCCGCCCGTCCCGGTGCCAGCTGAGGGCACTCTTCTCACTGCACACACGCCCGGCGACGGAACCGTTGCACTGGATCTTTGCTGTTTCATTGCAACGAGGGGATTTGCAACCCAGGAGCCTACTCTGAACCATCTAAATGTGATTTTATTGGAAATCATTCAGAAAGAGAACTACTGTGGAAGAAACAAGAACACTGCATTAACAATGCCCCTGAAACATTCAAGCTGCAACATAAGATACATCTTTTTTTCCCCTCTAAATTTAGAAAGCTCTTTAAAAAAAACCCCAGTTCTGTTCAAGACAAGAGAAGCAAAAAGAGACACCAAGACTCACATTATATTGTGCAGTTATTTCTCCTTACCATACGACCCATGTGACCATTAGAAGTTATCTATTTTTTTGCCATTGAGGAAAGCAAGAATAAAACAATAGGTACCTCAAGTGAACTTTTCATTTGATTTGCTTGGTCAATTTTCTCAGTATAGTTTAAAAATAAATCTTTTCTGCTGGGAACTAACAGACGGTACCCAAAGCCATTGCTTGCTCTATATTATGTCACAAATGATATCCCCATCTTCTGAGAGTATTAAAATACAGCATTAATGTCTTTTTCTTTCTTTGTGCGCTAGAGAATCAAGCTCTTTTATGATTGCAATGAAGAAAATACAAAAATATGCTGAAAAATAAGCTGTGCACACATAATGGTACACATCAGCTGTCGCCAACAGATCATCAGTAGGAAAACATTCCCTGGTGGAAGTAACGAAACCATCAATAGCTGCTCATTACTTACATTGAGGTCTAGAAGTGACCAGCAAGAAGGAAATATCACGCGATTTACAAAATCACAACTCTTTCTGCAGACACAGAAGCAACAGTCAAGCCTTTCCACAGAAGTCAATTTTGGATTCAAAACCTTTGCAGCTACTTCTTTGAACAGGACTCGAGTATTTGTATTTTGTTTGTAAGTACTATTTTGCAAACAAGTCAACGGGAAATTTGAGGGTAAGCGCTACATATGCTAAATATTTTCCTTCTGTGGCTTCAGCAGTTAAATGTTAAAGTTGGATCCATATCAGACACAGGTTTCCAAATTTTATGGAAAGTGGGAGTAAGCAGGAGTTAAGACTGGATATAAACATCATCAGCAGAAATAAATGAGGCAGTGACCTGTATTTTCTTCTCAATAAACATTTCGCTTACAGTGTCAGTAAACAAAACAAAACAAAAAATAGAAAAACACCAACTTACGAGAGAGAGAATGGGTGCCTTTGGGTAAGTACTCAAACAGCAGAGAACTATCCTCTCCCAGCATGTCGGCTTTCAGAGACAGCAAACTGTTCTTACTCATGAGAGCCGCGCGCAGGTTGGCGACGGTGGCAGCCTGGAGCGCATCCTCCTTCTCCGGAGTCAGGGGTTGTGAGATGTAACTGGCCTCCCCACCCATGAGAGCTTCCTCCACGATCCGATCGCTCCACTCTGCTGTCAGAGCTGCTGGGCTCCGTCGCTGTCGCGTCCACACCTGTGTGAGGAAAGATGTCGTCAGAGATGCAGATGAATCGCCCAGACGAGGAGGCACAAGGACCACGCGCCCCTGTCAGGTCCAAATCACTCAGATCTGGGAACTGATCGACACCTGGTTTGCTTTATTGTCACCTTTAACACGTCTTGATCCCTTTCTCCTAAAGTCTGAAGATGAACTTGGTCGTTCAGGAGCTCGCTGGAAAGCACACCCACCCCACAGCTCGGGGGTTTCTGTTCTCCCACCCCGTGCCCATCTGCAGCCTCTGCTCCTGCCCCATCAACTGGTCAAGAACTGGATAAAACTGTATTTATTTATTTGTTTGTTTTAAACTCAGATTTCAGGATAGTCTGCTCGGACTGAAATTACTTTCAAACATTCAAGTTCTGTTTTTCCATAATTTTACTCCAGTAGTTTGAATTTTCCTTCTTTCATTTCTTCCTAATGATGAGGATTTTGGGGGAAAAAACCCAACTACAAAACAACAAATCCAAACCCCAGTAATAAACAACCGATAATAGTGGAATGCTAATTAGTGTAAATTCCTTGGGGTCATTTATTTGAGAAATACACACTAATCAGTGGTTCCCACCCTATATATATATCACAGGGTAGGTTTTATACAGAAACAATACCGTTAAAAATAAAAACCAAAACACAGATTAGCCACTTTACAACAGGTAGCTACCAAGAAACTGTATATAAACATAACAGACCATCAACAAAAACATCAACTAGTAAATCACAGAGTCACAGAATGTTGGGGATTGGAAGGGACCTCGAAAGATCATCCAGTCCAATCCCCCTGCCAAAGCAGGAACCTAAATGAGATCACACAGGAAAAACCCATACAAAAATGAAAAATGCCAAAACATTGTTTATTTCTGTGGTTTCGGGAGGCCTAGTTAGAGAGTCTCTCTGAACTTTGTCTTATAGTCTTAAATGATGTGTGTATTTTTATGTATAGGAAAGCTGACTCTTCTATTTCTCTCTACTCTTCACATGAAACAAAAAATTATCGACAGAGCGCTGTTACTCCATTTATAAAACGCTTAAAATGAATTGCTGTTACCTCACCCAGAATCTGCAGGAGCAGAACACACCTGACAGGCTCAGACCCCAACCGAGCACCTGGCTAAAGCTTCCCCAACGGATGGATGTGTTTGTAACCTGTGTCCTATCGAGGAGGGAAAAAATCCAAAGAGAGGCACTGATAGCGAGAGAGCAGATGGAAGAAGTTGGTGTTCACATCTCCAACATTTTATTGCCTCCTAATTCCAAATATGTTTAAAACTACTTCATGCAAGAGGCAGCTATTAGAGTGACACCAATGGTGGTATTACATGTACAAAATTAACACTTTTACAAGTTCATCTTGCACGTCTCAGGGCAGGGGATTCACATGGTGAAGGTTTCCCAGCAGCACAACTTCGGAAGGGGGAAGAGGAGTGTGGCACACTCACGCTCTGTTGTAGAGCTCAACAACTTCAAACCAGGGCAAAGACATCAATCTGCACAGCCTTATTAAAAAATGCTAATGAGGACACTGGTACAGTGCCGACCTTCTGTAACCTGGAAAACTGCTCAAGGAAAATCTGTATTTTTATCTCCATTTTACAGGCAGTAACTGCTGGAGAAAGACGCGGTCACTCGCTCAAGGTGTCCAGCCCGTGGAGCCAAGATCATTGCATGAACTTCCCAGTCCCAGCCCAGAGCACATCAGGTTCTTTAAGCAGTTTGAATTGGATTTACTAAACCATACTGTCCTGCCAGTCCCTCTCACTGTTAACTTTTCCCACTTCCTTTAAAAAACAGAAAGCCCCAAAGCAAACAATAAGGAAAAAACAATCATTAGCAGAGTACTGCTGCACCCCAGAGATGTGAGGAATAACCGAGGCTGGGGGCTGCAAACACAGCAGCAGCAGCAGTGACAGGAAGCATCAGAGAGACTCTCACTTTAAATCAAACCATTTTCCCTCCTCCATCTGTGTTTACTTGTATCATCTCATATTAAATCTTTATTAAATCTCAGCCAAGCAAAAGAATTCAACCACTTTGAATTTTTACACATTTTATCATCCTTGTATCACTGAGCGAGCGGTTAACGGGTACATCCATTTTTCTAAACGATAATAAAGTTTATTTTTAAAAAACCCCAAACATTTCCACATAAAGGGAAATTACAAGAGTTTAAAAACCAGCAGCTGCTACAGAAGGTGGCGAAGAAAGGCAATTCTAGCCCATTAAACCCGTAATGTAACAGCTTTATCAAATCAAAGCAATGCTAATACTGCTATTCCTCTGCTCCTCACCACCCACACAGCAAATCACTCGGGCCAGAAAGGGTGTTTGTCAACAAAGCGGGGTTGCCAGATCGGCGGGCAGGCAGTAAATCCCCTTGCCTTCTCTCCCAGCCTCTTTCATAGCCAATTACAGATGCTGATTGACAGTTGCCAGAATCCGTTGCTGCCTGCTGCACATAAACACTAATTGCTAAAACACACGCAGATTAATTGTAACCACAACAAGACATTAAACGTTCCTCAAAAGCCAAGATTAGAGACAGACAGTGAAACAGAGGCTTTAGAGCTTCCAGTATTTATAGCTGATGTAACCTAATCAAATACACATTAAGGCAAAATAAATATCCACTTAGTCACATAAGTACTGAAATACTCTCAGTACACCAAAAAAACCCCAAAATACATGAAGTTCCTCCTCACCCCACCTCCAAAACCACTTCTCCCTTTTCTCTAGAACGCAGCTTCTTTTAACAAGATTTAGCCAAAGAATTATATGAATCAAAAGTATCCGTCCCTGCCCAGTAATCCAAACTGTTTACTACAGCGCTTCAACAGGACGTAAACCAAGCTTTAGTAAATGAGCTTCTATTTTGCAATTATTCAAAGCAGCGGGTCAGGCAGCCGGCGGAGAGCTCCATCCAGCTCCTCCACATCTCATTCCTCACACCGCTGAGACAGTCCCCACCGCTGCCCGGACTCCAGGCACCGCTCACAGGAAATCCCGCTCGGGGCAGCAAGCTAAACGTGGGATTAATGCTGCTCTAAAAAACTGAGCTCATTACACTCTTTAGTAAATAATTATTTTGCAGTTATTTTGTTACGCCAGCCTCATTTCTAAAACATAGAAGGTTTAGAAAAGCTTTAGTCGTCTGTTGACTTGGAGGAATATTTGTTTGTTATTATTTTTAGTTCCAAATAAAACACGGGGAATATTTTTACAGTTTTGGTAACAGTATTTCTGTGCATCCCTGAAACTCCAAAAAAACAACATTTGATTGGTGAAGTTCTTATTTACACATGAAAGCCTGATTTCCTGGAGAAAAGGAGGCTGAGGGGAGACCTCCTGGCTCTGTGCAAGTCCCTTGGAGGAGGGTGGAGAGAGGTGGGGGTGGGTCTGTTCAACCAAGGACCAAGGGACAGGACAAGAGGAAATGGGCTCCAGTTGTGCCCAGGGCAGTTGAGATGAGATGTGAGGAAGAATTTCTTCACCGAAAGGTTGGTCAAGCATTGGAACAGGCTGCCCAGGGAGGTGGTGGAGTCACCTTCCCTGGTGGGATTTAAAAGACAGGCAGAGGAGGTGCTGAGGGACACGGGTTAGAGGTGGGATTGGAAGTGCTGGATTTATGTTGGACTCAATGATCTTAAAGGTTTTTTCCAACCACTGTGATTCTAGGATTCTGTGAAAAGGAATATAGGAAGCTCAATCACAAGCACCTTCTCACACTCATCACACATCCCAGCTGAGGATGGCACAACAAAATGCACTTTATTCCCAACCACGCCGACCAGGCAGCTTGAAGAGATCCACACCTGGTACAACACGAGGAGCACAACATCCCGACCACGCACAGGGGCGGCTGCTGCGTGGACATTTACACTGGGGCAGAACAACACCGGGCCACGTGCTTGCTCTGCAAGGGAAGGACAGCCACAGGAAACTCCACTGCTTTGCTGCACTATGCAAAGCCCAAATCCAGGTTGGAAATCCTATTTATCAGCAGGCATGCCATTGCTAACAGTAAAAAAAATGATAATAATTTTAAAAAAATTACCTGAAAGTCATCTAAACTGAGCTGGTATGAGAAAACCGAGCTGTCAAAAAAAAGAGAAGTACTCCAGACATCGGCCAGCCCCTCAGGAAGGGCCATGGCAGAAGTAAAGGTGATGTAATTTACTAAAAGTGTGTGAATGACACGCTAACGTGATAAATTGTTTTCCAAGATCTAGGAGAACACTGACAGAAAAAAGCATTAAATCTTGGTAAACAACTGAAAAAATACATGTGCCATTTCAAAAGACCAAGGAAAAGCTTCTCCATTTTAAAGAATCCATTTGAATACCTTCATTAATTACTTTAATATACAAAATGTTTTTCTTCTATTTCTTCTCCCTGTTTCAATTAAACCTGCTCACAGCTTTTTAAACTGAGCTGTAACCAAACCACCTCCTCAGGGTCTGCTTCTCTCACAGCACTTAGTTCTTGTTTGTATTCTGGTTTTACCTTCTCGGGAAACCCCCAGTGGTATCTTCTGTTGCTACCCCTACTCCCAGTGCTATTATTCTCCTTCATAATTTGTTATTTCAATCATTATTTCATCTTTGATTTTTATTTTTTCAACTTTCTTTCCTGCTCTCTCATGTACACAGTCAATCACCATTGTCCTGCCAGTTCCACCAGCATCCTTTCAACCAGACATCAGTGACACCATCAACTAAACCCAGCCAAAGTCTCTGGCTGCCTGCACTTCATGGACACTTGCCAAAGCTAGGGGTGATAGCAAGATCCCCCAACTACCTGGAGCTAATTAAAGAAACACTGGATAATCTTCTATCCTACTCTTATTTACAAAGCTCACCAGACAGTCATAAACAGGAGAACCAAATACCTTCCCTCCTATAGGCAAACGTGACACAGGGCCAGCAAGTCACACTGCTCATCTCCTTCAGAACACACCAAGAACAAAAACCCACAGCAAA